TAAATGCATTGGATGAATGTTTTATTTAAACTGATTATCCTTAGTAAATATCTTAAGCTTTGATTCCATTAAACTTTTTTGATAGTTGACATGTGTAATCTTTTGTTGTCATGTTAACATATAAATTGTTGAACTTATGCTTCAAAGATAAAAGTTTTAACTTCTCTATCCTATTGTTAATTAATACAAATTATACAGGAACAAAATTATTTTGCTTTTTAAATATGACTTAGGAGAGGTTACTAAGAGTTAAAAAGGACATGAAGTTGTGGAGAGCCATGATCGCCCAGATCCTGAAGGGACATGGTACATAGAAGACTACTTTGCTTGTGATTTTCTTAATTATACTAAGAGACTCTGGATGCAGTTAATCTTTTTTATATTAGAATATATTAGTATCACTGTTATGATTGAAACTATTTTCTCAATACAAAGAATTATTAAAGACAGATTTCAAAAATACTTACTAAACCAAGAAGTTAATTTTTTTTTTTAAATAAGTTTCTATTATTTTTAGCAGTTTTAGTAATTTTAGTAGATTTATACACATTGGTTATGATTACATAGTTAGACCTATTAACATTTTATGAGGAGTTTACTTAATAATTTAAAACACATAACATTGTGGAGACATTTGACATCCCTTGATCTACAATCTCAGAAATGGAATGTTATTATGCCCTGTTCAAACTCCAATAGTTCACATTATTTTGTCTTGAGCAAACTAACTACCAATATTCACACCGACTCACTAGATGTCAGTGCACAATTGATGTTGGTCTGGGTATTTTCATAGCATTAAGGAATGATGGCACCATTACCTTTACATGCTGCTACCCCATCATTTTTGGCATATCAGTGTATGAAAGCCATACATGCAAATTTGACACAATATTGTTAATGATTTTATTTCATTTTTTCTTTCTTCACAAAGCAAAGCATAAATATTCTAAAACATTATCAAAATTTCAGATAAAAAAATTACAAATAATTTGAACATTTTTATGTCAAGGTTCAATTTGAACATTTTTATGTCAAGGTTCTGAAAGTAGTTTTAATCCATATTTCATATTTTCATATTTGCCAATTTTAAAATTTTAATTTCCTATAAAAAATTATAATTACCTCAATCTCATATAGATTTTATTTTCTCACATGAAATAACCAAAATTCACAATTACTTAGTTTTTCTTAATCATAAAGATATTAACAAATTATAGGAAGCTATTTGTCAATAGAACAATAGTTTTCTATTTTAATAAATGATGGCATCTGAAGTCAGTCAATGCAACATGGCATGCAGAATTAAGCTTAGTTTAAATAAAAATTATTACTTTATAAACAAAGAAAATAATTTTGTAAAGTATTTGTAGATAATCAATATTTGATTAACAAATCAGTGTCTGTTAATATTTCAGGGTTTCTTTTTCCATTTTCAGAAGATCAATGCTCTGAGAAAAACAAAATAATCTACATTTTGTTAATCAAATATTGATTGAACTACAAGGGTGACTTTTTTTAGAATTATTTCTTACACTCTAAAATTGACTGGCAAAATACCTCACAATTTTTATTTTCTTTAATTATATTCTTTCTTTTATTAAGCTAACTATATATCCTGTGCATAAATAAATATCTAACAGCATGAATTGTTTCTTTAATGTTAGTTGATCACTGTTTCCAACAACATATCAACAGAATTTGCCAATTCATTCAGAAATGTTGCAAAGGGATTCTTACTACAGATTTGCATCCATAATTTCAAGTTTCTTAGCACATGTGCTCTTCTGAAGCATATTGGTGCTACTGCTTGGCATAATACTACTGGACAAATACTACAACTAAAACATTTTCCTTTTATTAAATAAGCTTTCTGGTTGGGAATGAACCAGAAACTGCCTATTTTAAAGTCTTTTGTTCTCATCACTAAGTTATATTCTATCATTTAACAGCATGGCAGCTTTAAAATATTAATTGGGGAGTAATATTACAGCCTGGGAAATAATACTCATTAATTGGAGCACTCTCTTAATTGCTCTGTGGTCATAAGTATTCTAGATATATACTTGGAATCTCTAAGATAAAGAAAATAGTATTGCTGATTTAGAAACAAAAATATTAACCTTATAAAAAGAGTATTACTGATTAAATAATAGCTGGCTGATATCCACTTCATATTTTTGGGATGTTGAACAATTTGATTGCATAAAAATTAGCAACACTTAATTTTTTAACAAAATACTTTAACATTATTTTGCATTTTGCTTCAACTTACAAAACCTAGAAATTGCTTTGTTCATATTAGTGTAGAAAGGACATGCAAAACATTAAGATTTTAAATAGCTTAAATTGTAACTGTTTTTGATATGGGGCTCTTTTTCTAGTGTATTATAGACATTCTCCAGATTTCATGTGTGTTCTTACCACTGTAATATGTCAAAATTTATTTTTACTTCACTTTCAAGCAATATATTCTGGGCTTGCTGACTAAAGTTTACCAACTACATTGTTGTGGTAAATCTGCATCTATTAATGTTATAAAGATACCAGTCTACAATTATTTTCAACACCCTGTCATCCAAACTGTACAGTATGAAAATCTTGATTATCTAGCCTTCCATCTATATTCCTAATACAGTGAACTCTCTGGATATTTTATTCTTTTCTAAAAGTAGGGGAATCTTATTGCGCATCAAATAAGTCATATCATAACTGTTATAAAATTTCACTCTTATACAGTTTAATATGACTGACCTGACAGTGTTACATATTTAATATTTAGCACTTAGCATCATTTATAAATATTACTTCCCCTTTTACTTTATATGGAATCCCTTTTTATATATATATATATATATATATATAAATTAGTTTGCAATATTTGAAATTGCAGTAACCTGGCTCTCAATTTCAGTCAAGATTGTTTTAGGTGTTGCCATAGGAGGACATGGACACACCACCAAGGAATTCAAATTCAACTTGCATTGGCAAGACTAACATTTTGCTTGGCGAAGAATAGTCGCCTCTACAGTGTTAAAGGTTAAAAAGGAAATAATTCCTAACAAAATAACGTATACCTTATTTGTCAGATATAGATTTTTACAAGGGTTTCTCAAACCTTTCAGAATTTTACTCCCTATTATAGTAAAATGTACACTGAGCCCAGTGCATCTTATGAGCTGGCAAACAGAGTATGTTTTGTTTGTTTGTTTGTTTTTTTTTAATTGGATTTACCTCAAACAATGCAGTAAAGCCACTAAGACACAAGGGGTTACTGGGTATAAAAGAATTAGAAAACAAAACATTATGAAGGAGTGAGAACAATTAATATTGCATTTAAATTACCATACTTATTAAAATTAAACTGATGGTATCTTAACATGATAAAAAAATGCATGCATACTCTTCACCTAAATATTTTGTAAAGAAAACTGCTAATATTATCATTACTATTGTACTGTAGTACGGTATCAAACAAACCCTTTGGACATTTTCCTAAATAAGCTAGGAAAGATCTGAATAATATAAAGTTGTAGATTTGTTCAGCATTTTATAATCTGACCAGTGATGATCAGAATAAAATAAAAATAGAAAATTCCTTATTGATTTGTAGTTAGTGTTCCAGATACAATGACTTGTTTAGGGTGTTTGTTTTAGGTGGCTTGCAAGATGTTATACATACCCTCTCTAACAAATCTACAAATAAGACTTGCTTGAAGAATTTACAGACAGATCTTGTACAAAATGAAAATACACTCATATTTATAAGTGAAGACTGATGTCTACACCAAGTGGTGACAGTTTCATGCTTGGAACACTGTTGCCACTTGTTGTCCACTTTTATTTTTACATATGCCCTCACTGATATTGAGCACTTTTACCTATAAATATAGCATACCTTAAAACTATATTTTTAAGGATGCTATATTTATGAATTAAAGTGTTCAATATCAGAGATAGAGCATATGTAAATATAAAAGTGGACACTGAAATCAACACCAATCAGTAACAGTCTGTTTCATACACAAATTCTTCAAGCCATATGTGTTGTGCTTTGGCTTGACTTATATATACTGGTCAGTCGTGTATTATGAATAGAAGGTTGACTGTATTATCCAAATGGTTATTGGGTGAGTGGTAACGATTGTTTCAAATTATTCTAGAAGCTATTTAGTAGAAATAATTGATCTGAATACAGTTATTTGTAGATATTTTATAATTTTTGTAGACATTTTACTTATTTATTGATTACTTTATTTGTTGTTGATTATTATTTTTATGATTACATTTACTTGTGCTTATGTATATTCACAGTTTAATTTGCTTAAGATTTAAATCAATAATTAAACAAATAATAAAGAAATTACAAACTATGCACACATAAATGTAATAACAATAATCAACAAAAAATAAATTAATAAATAATGAGTAAAAAAGTTAACATTATACAATAGCTACAAATAACTGTCTTTGGATCTATAATTATTTCTACTTAATAACCTCTAGAATAATTTTAAACATGATCATTACCAACCACCCACCCACTCAATAACCATCAGGATAATACAATAGACCTTCTACCCATAATGCAACACTGAGTAGCATATATAAATAGTCAAGTCAAAACACAACACGTGGCCTGAAGATTGCATTTAAGCATGAAACAGACTGTTGCTGCTGTGTGTTGACTTCAGTGTCTACTTATATATATTTCAAAAGTGGGTTTTTAAATTTGCATAACATTGTTATAAATGTAAATAAATTATAAATATCTTAATGATTAAAGTTTATTGTAAGTGCATATGTAAAATTTGAATTAGATAAAAGAAATATGCAGAGAAGAAAAATAAGCATATTTATGAGTTTATCATTATTGTTCTTTTTTTTTTTTTTTTTTTTACTTAGTTTTTAAAATTAGCATTAAAAAAAAATCTTCATTTAATAAAACTTATATTTTAGTCCTGAGACTCTACTTTTCATGGATATTGTTTATCTTGCAGATCGTGCACAAACAGTCCCCAAATCCCAAGTGGCTAAAGTGGGTGATGATGTAGAGCTTGTCTGTTCCAAGGATGATATGGGTAAAGAAATTTGTTTTCATCTTTTAAACTTATGTGATAACCTTTTCCTGGTGGTGTGCTTAAAAATGATCAGTTGAGTTTGAAAAAGATAACTTTCCAATGTTTATCTTAAAGCATAATAATTTAATAGGCTAATATTAGTTCAAATGGTTATTGTTTTTGTTTTATTGCTACATCTTTGAGTGTCTTCAAAAAAAAAATAAATATACTTGTTGCAAATCTAATTTCTTTTAAGATAGTGAAAAAGAATTTTTATTTCATTTTTTTAGCATCCTTCTTTTCACTTTTTATCAACCTATTCAGTTTTATCCTGACACATATTCTATTTCTACAGCTTACTTTCTCAACTTCTTTTTTTTAATTTCTTTTTCTAGAAGATTCCTCTGTCACCCTTGAGATGCTTGCTACTACAAAATGGTCAAAAATTGAAGGAAATATTTCCAGCAATGCTCGTGAGGAGGGCACTAAATTGATTATACCGGATGTGACTGCCAAAGACGCTGGTACATATTGCTGTACGGTCACTTTCGGGTCGAAGTCCTTCCAGTCTAAGATCTCCTTAAACATTTCCTGTAAGTTTATGAACAATATTATTGTATATTTTCTGATGTCATAACAGTATTTTTAAAAAATGCTTCCAATCCTATACAATATTCTTCCCGTGAACCACTGGTCTGTGGAACCAACTTCCAAGAGGGTGCTTTCCTGATCACTACAATCTTAACCAGTTTATGTTTAAGATTAGCCGTTATCTTCCCAACATTTCCACATAAATTGTGCCTCTTACTCTGTAACCCTCTACCTCAAGTGGCTACCAAGCCTTGTACAGGGTGAACATCAATAATAAAAAATTAAAAAAAAAACAGTTAATCAGTTATCATTCCTTGCTCTTTAGAGCTCAATCAAGGAGAACAAAAATATTAATCATGTGTATCTTTTTCTTTTTTTTTTTTTTTTTTTTTTTTTTTTTTAGCTCCTTACCCTCCACATGTCAGCAAGGTTCAGACAACAAGAATGACCACCACTACTACTTCAACCACCCGCCAACCTGCCACACCTCGGTCCACACCAAGAAGACGACCAAGTCCGTCCACTATGCCAACCACCACAGTTACTACTGCTTCAACCACCACCTCCACAACAACCACAACTACCAAATCTCCTCGAACTACTGCACGAAGGATTACCAAAAAGAAGCCCACAACAACTCCACGGATTCCCAATAATATTCCCAAAAGAAGTACAACACCAACATCTACAACGCGTAGAATTAGGAAGAAATGTAAAGACAAAGTTGTAGATGGAATATGGTGGCCCCCAGTAAATGCTGGGGTTATTTCTGAGAGACCCTGTCCAGAAGATAAAATTGGTAAGTTTTTTTCTATTACTATAAAATCTATGAATAGTATTTTCTGTGTATGAAAGAATCCAATATTAAAATATTTGTTAAAAGTTCAGACATTAGAAATTTCTTTGAAATCATGATTTAGACTTGATTTAAATCATTGATGTAAACATTTGCCGTAAACTACTCCTTTTTTTTCTTAATAAATTTCAAAATGTTGAAAGTTTTTCAATATTAATCTAAAAATTAAAAAAAATATATAAGATTTTGGTGAGAGGAACGAGTGCCTAAAAGCTGTCTAGAGTCGAAGCCAGACTGTATAGGGTCTAACAAAAAAATTTTATGGGTATATTCATAATGACATCTCGCTGCCAACATAACCTCACACGAGAGTGTCTGTAGATGTATATATATAGTAAGGTCCAGTCAATTTGTTTACTGATTTATGTTGTTTGTCCAAAAAAAAAAAAAAAAACCTTCATACATGAAGAACAAGTAGGCATATTGGCAGGATTAATGTGTGCAGTGTAACTGGCCATGGTTAAGTGTAATTGGTAAAATGCTCTAGAAATGGAACTGACAGAGTTCTCAAACAATAAGAAAAGGAAGAAAAAAACATGGCAAAATAATACAAAGCAAACAATATATATGCACGTCAAAATTATACAAATCAACAGTAATAAGGCAAAAGGTTCACAGTAAGAATGGTGTTCACATGCAAAAGGGATATAGTCAAATGATTGTAGCATTTTGGCTTCAAGACAAGAAAGGACAAAAATATAATGGATGAGACTGAGAAGTGGTCCATTTTTATCTGTAGGATTTGTCTATAAATTTGAGGAGGGGATGTTTTTAGTAATCCTTTCATATCAGTTGGAACCAACAATGTGGCAGTCATGCAATACAAAAGCTCACACAGTTGCATCTAACTTGCTAACAGAGTAACCCCACAGGAAAGTGCCTGTTGATACATTGCATCTGTGACTGTATCACCTCACATCTATGAACTTGCCAGACTTTTTCACTAATCTGATGATTATTCATGAACACCCTATACCAAAAAATTTTGAAAAACCAATAACATTTTTGCTCTTGTATATAAATATTTGTCACAACATAAAATCCTCACATTTGCCTTGATAAAGTCCCACAAAGGACAAAACATGTTGGCTAAGATAAGTTTTCCTTTTATCTTTATTCATTGTGACACTTGCTGTATCAGTGTGCTTTTTTTGACTTTTTCCAAAATTGGTATATTTAATTTAGTTTTTCAATTTTAACATGAATGATAATATAACATTTTCAGCATATACTTTTTATCCTTGTAATATACAATTTGTAAGCAGTATATTAGAAAACTATATAAGTTTCTATATTTGTTTTTATTAGATGCGTATAGGTAATCACATATGTTTGCATTTACCTGACAAAAAGCTCTTAATTAATTTGTATTAATCTTGCATTTGAAATGTCTTGAAAAAAAAAGAATATAAATATACACACACACACAGTGCTGAAAAGATCTAATATTGACAAGGAAACCCTAAAATAAACTGATGTTTGCTTATGTTATTTGGCAGGGAAGTGTGTTTGGCAAGAACTTGTCAGCACCCACCTATATGTATTGTTGGTCTTTCATTAAATTATTCTGTTCATAAAGGAATTTGTATAAGCTTCTCTTCAAGAGCCATTTATCAACACTAAAGTGGGCTGTCATGTTGGTTGACAATGTGGATAATGATGGGACCCCACATGTATTTAGCTTTTAAAAATTCCAAAACAAGCTTTTAACAATGGATTCAGTTTACAATGTAAGTATTTAACATTAGAAAGAAACAGTTGAAATTTCTAGGGTGCATAATGAGAAAAGAGGGCTTGGAAAATTTGATATTTGTAGGACAGATTGAAAGCAAGAGGTACAGAGGAAAACAGCACATACTTAGTGAGCTTGTATAAATGGATGCCAGAAAAGCATTTAGGAGAGATAACAAAAAGACAAAATTTATTAAGAGCTGCAAAGGACAAGAAATTGTGGAGAGCCATGATCACCAATGTCTTGAAGAGATTTGTAATGCTATACTGGACCTTTACTTTTTGTCTGTAAAGTTATCTAAACTCAATATTTTTTGTTTAATCTTATAAAGTAGACATCAAACTGAAATCTCTTAGCCCATAACCAAACTTATGACCTCTTTGTGTGTGATTAGAAAAATACATTTAAAAAAAGAAATCCTGTTAGTTAAGTTTGTTGTATGATCAGTGGCCTCTAGGGAGCCCACTTGTTTTTTATGATACCATAAAAATCTCCTACATATCTGAATTAAACGTAATGTTTCTGCTTGTATGTGTGTACTAAGTTTTTTTTGTTTTGTTTTTTTTTTTTCTTGTAATAAATTTTGTTCAGGTATTGCAAAATGGGAATGTGATCAAGAAGATTGGATTGGTTCTGTGCCCAACTACACAGACTGTGTGGCTCCTTGGCTTCATGACATTGCAGATACTGTAAGTAAATAGTATTTGATATGTTATATATTTTTTCTATGCAGTAGAAATAGGCAAAAATAGGATGTTTGATAGATTCAAACTGCACTTTTCTGTCAAGTATATGACTCATTTTCATGTATTGAGTCTTGAATCATGTAATTTGTTGGTATCATGACAGGATGAATCTTATTTTTAATGTTCAAATAAGTTTTAAATAGAATTTTCTTCAGACCTAAAGGTTTTAAGTCACTTGAGATTAATGTCTTATTTAAATGTTAAAATTCAAGATAATTAAACAGTGCATGTTTTTTTTTCTGTAATTTGTTTTTTTTTGTTTTTTTTTTTTTGTGAGGGGGTGCTATTACCACAGTGTTTTAGCTGATCCATTGTAAAGCCCTCTTCAAGTATACAATATGTATTGAAAGAATAGAGAATCTCTCTCTCTTCCCCACTTTATATATAGTACAAGCTATAAATTAGTTTTATCAGTATATTTGATATCATTTTTTTTTTAATGTTGGTTACTATTTTCTAATTTGCACTACAGAGAAAAAGATCGCTCTCTGGAAAAGGGTATACACTAGATCACTTGATTGTATTTGTTAATTGCCCTATATAGACAACAAATGGAATGAGATTGAGTTCAAACAGCACTTGAAATGGCCTGATTTAGATATACAGATATATTTGTTAAATTTGCCCAGCTTTAGCACAAGGTTATATTTTCTTCAGAAGTTCATTACATATGCTTTTTTAGTATATCCTTATTCGGTAGATATTTGGAAAAAGAAAATTGTTTGCTTTTTTATATAATCCATTTAGTTTATTCATTTATTTCTGTTTGTGTGTTAACAGGTCAACTATACCAAACCACAGAATTCAATGACAGAATTATCAAGGTCTATGAAGATATCCAAACTTGGTTCAGGTGATATAATCAAAACAACAAAAGAAATCATTCCAGAATTGACTAAAATCCTTCAAAAAGAGGTAGAAAAACCTGGAGAAAAACACAATACCAAATCTAAAATAGATGCAGTAACCAATTTCACAGAGGTAGTTATTTTTTTAAAAATTCTTTGGGGGCTTCCTTTTTAAATATTAATGCTATTTTGGAGACAGATGTCTCATAAATATTTCAGTAATATTTAAATCCACAACAGTCATAAGCAGTGAGACATATATGAAACTGATTGATTTATTTTAATGTCTTTTTTTTTCTTTTCACAATTAAAATATTTAATAACTATATTTGATAGAGGCTCTTCTCCAAAAATCAAGATTTCATAAAGTTGTAATTAAATGCATGAAAAGAAGAAGCTTAGAACTGGGGCAAATAAGGAACATGGATGAAGTTTGTCACATTCAATGCATCATTCAAGAATTTTATATGTTCAGCTGAAATTTGGTGGTGGCAGGGGTCTTGTCTGCCACCAAATACAGTATTTATTGATAAGATGTCCAGAGCTGGAAAGAACTTTTAAAAATTTTGAACCTTTGGGACACCTTCTGTGTCTGGTCCCAAATCATAAAAGGGTATTAAATTTTCTTTCTTAACTACTTGGATATTGTGACATATCAGTTAAATATTTTGTCAGCTGCTCCAGCACAGTCATTGTTTTTAGTGCTTTTATCATAGTCTATGAATTCTTCAACCACTAATCAGTTTACTGCATGAGTAAGACCAAAAAGAAAAAAAATTTGTGTGTTCAAACACCTTGACTTTTGTGATATTAAAAAAAATGTGTGATTACATGTATCTTTTTGTTTCTAAATATCAAAAAAGGAGAAACTCTTCCACATAAAATTTTTCAATTGGAATATTTCAAGAATACCGATATACAAAAATGTGTTGTTGTTTTTTTCCATTTTAATTGTAGGGTTTTATCAGTGTTGGTAGTGCCATGTTACAGTCTAACCAGCAAGATGGGTGGAATGAAATGCCACCTGAGGAGCGTTCAAGGGTTGCAACTTCCTTAACTCAAACAATGGAAAGCACAGCTTATGAAATAGCTTCCCTTTTAAATATGACATCTCAGATTGAAATTGCAACCGATAATATCAGTGAGTGTCATTTTATTCTTTATCTCATTGATTACTCTTTTCAAAATTTATTATTTATTATACTATATTAGTAGTATTAATAGCAGTAATATTACCATGAGTTTATTAAATGAAGCATTGTTGACAATTATTAATTTTTGACTTTTTTTCATCTTAATTTTAGTTGCTTTGCTTAGCAACTATTCAAAAAATGATTTCAGGTTCAAATCCCATTAAAAGCTGTTTCTGTGAAATATAGAATATTAAAAAAAAATTTTTTTTTCTCTCATTAGGGGCATTGTTATAACCATGATATAACAACACCGTAGCTCACAGACAGAATGGAATGGCTGAAAGGAAAAGGAATGACAAACATGCTTTGTTCTCAGAGACTTTTATATAAACTACAACATATACAAAACTATATATATATATATATATATATATATATATATCCTTCTTTTATGTGTTGTGTCCCTTCAGGACATAGGCAATCATGGCCCTCCACCTCCTCCTGTCCCTTGTAGCTCTTAATAAGTTTTGTCCTTTTATTATTTCTCCCAGACCCTGTTCTGCCATCCACTTGCTGAAGCCCATTAAGGATGTCACAGATTGCTTTCCCCTGTCCCTCTATCCATCCTGTGAGTGTCAGATTTCCCAAGCCCTCCTTCCACATTACATGTCCCAGAAACTTCAGCTGTCTCTTCCTGATGTTCAGTATAAGTTTCCTCTTTGTTTCCAAAACCTCGTCGTTGCTCATATATTCAGCCCATGGTACCCTTAGCATCCTTCTGTAGAACCACATTTCTGTTGCTTCGAGTTTCTTCATCTTTGAGGAAATTGTCCAGCATTCGCTGCCATACAGAAGAACAGATATCACGTAACAGTTCCGTACTCTTTTCTTTGTTTCCAATGAAACTTTCCTGTTTCATAATACTCTTCCTGTTTCATTACACTCTTAGTTTTTAAAATGCGTCTTGGGCCATCCTAATACATCTTTGGATCTCAGTGTCACACATTCCATCCTCTGTTAGAACACTTCTCAGGTATTTAAATTTCTGTACCTGCTTGATTTTAGTGTTCCTGGCCTGTAAATTGCATTTTGGTCTTATCTTTTTGCTGATGACCATATATTCTGTCTTGTAGTTTATGCTTAGTCCCTTCTTCTTGCTCTCCTTTGCTACCTTCTGTAGAAGATTTTGTAGTTTCCTTTCTGTGTCTGCTATCAGAACTGTCATCTGTATATCTTATGTTAAGATTGTAGCTGCAAATGATGAATCCTGGTAGGATTTCCAATTCTCTTAAAATTGCCTCACTGTATAGGTTAAATAAGTCCAGTGAGAAGACATATCCTTGCCTTACACCTTATATTTTTGTATATCTGCTGAACTCATTTATCTGTATGCAGGTGGTTTGCTACCAGTAGAGATTTTTTTTATTATTCTAATGTCTTTCCCAAATATTTCAAGGTTGCTGAGCAACTCTAACAGATCTTTGTGGCATACTTAGTTGAACGACTTTGCATAGTCTATAAAACACAGGTACACGTTCTTCTGTATTTGTATTGCTCTTTCTGATAACATTCTGAGCATAAATATCACATTCCTTGTTCCAGTGTCTTTAATGAACCTACACTGTTCATATCTTATTTCTGGCCTGATTCTGCTGCACACTCTATTCATTAGAATTTAAATGAGGAGTTTTGTTATGAGGTCAATTGTTCAGTGGAGTTCACATTCATTTGCACCTGATTTCTTAGGCAGTGCTATGAAAATAGATCTGCTTAATATATTCATTCCAGCATTGAATAATTTTTTCTTTCTCTAATATGAGTTCTGCCCTTGGATTTTATGCAGCCTGTTGATGAGTATGTCTTCTGTCCGTTAATCTCAAATATTCATAGTCATATTTGTGTTGTCTGAAATTGTCATGAGCCATTTGTATTATTCCAGTTAGTACCTTCTGTTTATCATCACATTCCAGCTGGTGCATTCTATGCCTTTAGTATAATACATAGTTCTAGTATTGAAAACTTAATCTTGACAGAGGCAATCCAATGTCTTCTGGAATCTGCTTACCCAGGTTTTTGTTATGAAGGTCAGAATTCCAAACATTTAACACTAACAACAATGCATCTTTTAAATGAAACCTAAAATGGTTATTTGCTGAAGGAAAATTAGAAGCAGAATGTCAATTGAAATAATATTTATATATTCTTCTCAGAAATATACAATAACAATAAAATGTTCAGTCTCCCTGAAATGAAGTTTGTTTTATAAAGTAATTAATTGTTCTTAGTGTGATGTGAAATGTGTGGCTAGACTTACATTATGAAGGTAACCTTGACGTGTTTGTGAGTTCATAGACAAAGGCTGCTGGTTATTCCCTTCTATTGTATGCGTGGACAAGGCCTTCCATTGTATACACGAGTAGATCAAACTGACCTGCAAAATTGTTTTGAACCCCCTGAGAAGCAGCATTTAATCCCTATATAAACATCCAGCTACCTGTACTGAAAAGAAAATTATTCTTTTCATGTATGTGTAGGAAAGTCTGTTGTCCAGATTTTTTTATATTAAAAATCCAAATGTCTGAATTCCAAACAATAATGAAATAAAAATAAAGAAAACATCAGTATGCCTGTTAAATAAATCATTTGTATTTACAAATATATCTACTTGAAAAGAGTCAAAAAGGAGTAAAAATAGTCTTTAGTTGAATTAAAGTCTTTTCACAGAAAAAAAAGCTGTAGTTGAAAAAAGACTTATTAGTGAAGATTCACTGTCTTTGTTGTTGCTGCTGTTGGAGATGGTTCATTTGAAGTCGTCACTTGATCATCAGCAAAGTTTCACTGAACGTTCTAGCTGTTGTTATAGCTGATTTGTTTGAAGTCACTGACATGTTTCTTTGTGGAGGAAGGAAAAAGCTATGGAGCTAACATCTTTTCTTCAGATTTTAGACAGCTGCATCTCTGATCCTTGACAGTTAAAATCTGTGGGTTTTTATAAGAAATTTTTCATCCAAAAGTAGGCTTGAGAAAAACAGGCTTTATTTTTCTCTGATTGGTCAAATATTTTGCTTAATATTAATTTGTAACCAATAGACCTCTTGATTTAAACGGTGTGTGTTGTATTGTGGAATCTTCTTGACATGCTTGTAATATTGTCTATTATTGGGTAGAAAATAAAGTTTGGGTGTGTTTTAAGATGGTATGTATGTGTGTACGTAATTGTGTTGGAAATAGGGTTTATTTCTTATAATGCATGAAGCATTGTTGATTCTATTTCTCAACTGCAGAATGCTCCAGTCATCATAAGTGCTTAGATAGCATTAAATTCTGTTTCTTGTTTTGTTTTTTTGTTTTGTTTTGTCTATAATAAAGGAAATGTGCTTTTCAGCAGAGTTTGGACCTGTCCCCTGCTTCATATTATAGCCTGGTGTGCTTTTAGACTATCTCTTGTTAAGATCTTTTTAAGCCCCTGTCTGCTAACTTTATTTTCATATTCAAAATGTAAACAGTCCTTTCTAAGGAATTTATGGATTTTATTCCAGCATTATTTCTCATTAATATAAGTAAACTGAATAATTGACAACTATCAGCTTGGGTTTTTCAAAAGAAAAAATAAAGAATTTGCTTTTGTGCAGGGTTTGAGTGTAAGCATTTAATGGATTTTAATCTTGTATATAATTTTTATTATTAAAAACATTATTTTACAGGTTATACATGTTTGAATAGACAACCCCATATTTATTGAAATGAATGCCTACCAAACCGAAAATCTTATTAAAGAAAATTTATATCTTTGCAGAGATCAAACTTGCATTCCTAGATCATTGGAATGACTTTTTAGCCAAATGTGCTTTAACGTTCAGCCACAGAAATCTCAGCAGCAAATTTATTTCACTCTTTTGAAAAGATCTGGATATCTACTCAAATATGAGTATCCACTAAAAATAAGGTTTATAGTAAAAACAAAATGTTGGAATAAAACCCATTAATTGCTTAAATTACTGTGTTTATAGTTCATGTATGAAAATATAGTTACCAGATATAGAAAAGACAGACAAAAAAGTCACAATGTGAGGTGACATTTCATAAAAGGAACAATTGAACCTTGCTTTGCTACTGAGATCCTCCCTAGCTGAACATGCTTTAAGACCCTCTTACCATGGATTTTTACTTAAACTAAGAAATAAATCTTACAACTGCTCTTAAATGATTTTTGGTTTTGTTTTGGGTTTTTTTGTTTTCTCACAAGAAATAGTTAGGTATTGAACATGAATAGAAGTAATTCACTCAAGGTCTCTATTCATTATCAAAATAGTCATTCATTGTATTTTCATGTTTTCTTGCAGAACTTGAAATTTCTGTGACTGAAATCAATAAAACAAAAGATATAAGATTGCCATCCAGTCCCTATGCACATTCTTTGCGTGAACCATCAGATTTTATCACCATTCCAAAAGAAAATTTGGTTGCAAATGCCAAACAAGGTGAGTTAGGTATTTTGCTTTAAAAAAAAACAAAAAAAACGGGAATAATTTATTTCATATTATTATAGATATATTTTATCAGATGGTTAAGGCTTTTTTTATCTATTTTACATCTTGAATACCATTCATTGCCTAACAAAAATGTAATAATCTGAATAACAAAAATTTACATACCTATAAAGACTCTAATTGTCACATTGCCAAGTTTGGGTTTGTTTACATGCAGAGTAGGCCCAATAAATTCAAGTGTTAATTAGCTTGAAAAATTACAATAATTATGTTAAATCAATAACAATAAAAAATACTGAATTTATTCTAGTTTTTGTTTAATAGTAAAGATATTCATTTTCTGTAGTGATTAAATAGGATCATTTGTTCTCTGTTGTACATACTTTATACTAAAACTAAAAATGCATGCATTTGAATTGTTATATTCATTTTAATTATTTATATATATTGCTTTGTATCACCTGGGCAGTTACTGAATTAATGTATTCTTATTGGAGTTTAATTAGCCAGAATCTACCCAAAATATGTATACACATTTTAATAGCAAAATATGAAATAAAAAATATTACTTCTTCTATAATCCTGTAAGAATGCTCTATTTTTCTCAGGAATGGTACGTGTCGTGTGCATGCTTTACAACAATTTGGGAAATTTGCTGAAACAAACTGCAAAAGAAAAAAAGGAACCTGAAAAAAAATTGAAATTTGACCCATCAGAAATTCATCATGGAAAGTTTTCTAAGACTCCTCAATTGAGTGTTCAACAGGAGGAAAATGCTAATGAGATCCTGGCTGCTGAAATCCCTAAAAAGGAGGCTGTTCAAAAAATAAACACAAAGATTTTGTCAGTATCCATGACTCATACGCATACTTTCCTGCCCCTGGAGAAGCCAGTGGTATTTGTTTTGAAACACAATCAAGTAAGGATTAAACTTTATATTAAAACAAGAACATAAAATAAAATTTAAAAAGTAAATGGTCTCTTAGTATATTAAAAAAGGAGAACATGATATTTTTTTTAATTTGCAAGACATTAAATGTCTGTGAAATATGCAAAAATTGTAACCAACTTGTTTATTTTAGATATGGAAGGAAAACAGTAATAAAAATATTGGGAGGGGGACATAAAGGGAGGCAATTCATGTTTTGTTAAACAGAATTATGTCCCTTGAATTAATATTTTTAAAAAAAATAAATGAATTTTTTTTTTTTTAAATACCAAAATATTGTAAGCAGTTTATTTTTCTATAATGAAATTTTATTTGTTTATTTATAAGCATCAGCTTAATGCGCACTTTGATTTTTGTTTTCAATAAATATGGACAGAATGGATGAAATTGAACTATTTGCCATTTATAAAATTCTGTGTCTGTATATACACACACACACACACACACACACACACACACACAAACAGGCTGTTAAGCCGTTAACTAAACAAATTTAACTTAGTGTCTGGATTTAAATTTTTCAGACAAATATTTTTCTATTTATTCTAGTGTCAGCTCGTTTTTTTATTCAGGTCATTAAATGAGATGCTACCTGTTCATTTAACTCATCTCACAGGTTGATCTTATGAAACAAATGTTGAAACTTTTATTGCAATATATAGTTAGACAACAAATTCTGGCAGAAAGTTTACACAATGAAACACTCATGGTTAGATTTTAATACTGACTACATTTGAAATCTGTGTGTGTGTGTGTGTATATATATATATATATATATATATATATATAATAGAAAGAGACAAGGTTTCAGCTTTTATTACTGCTAATTATGCTAAATTACTTTAGCACTTCCCTGTTGTTTTTTACACTAAATACATATTTCTTGAAGTACAGAAAATTTTGATGTTTTGGGTATAAAGTTTGTTTTATCAACTTTCAACATTAAATCTGTTGTGTATGGAAAATCAAAGCAAAAAAAGTGTTTTGGGAATTTGTAAATATTTCTGATACAGACTGTATTTTTATAGTCTAATTAGTAAATGAAGACTTACTTTGTATCATGAGATTTTTTTTTCTTTTTCTCCTTAGGAGGAACTAACAGAAAATCCAAAATGTGTATTCTGGGACTATACATCGTAAGTTTCTAATGTTTTCTTTCAAACTTCTTTAATAATTCCACCATAGAAATATTAGTTGGTAAATTAAAAATCTTGTTGACCGTAATCAGATTTTAGAAGTATGTTGCCCTGATACAGATGGCTCTAAAGATGAAGACACAGTGGAAAGTGCTGCCATCTATAGCAGCAAAGAATACACAAAGAGACAGCCAAGGACTGCATCAATTTACATTGCTGAGTTAATAGCCATTGATCTGGCATTGAACAGATCAAACAAATTCATATGTACAGATCCAAAATCCTCACTTGAAGTGCTACAAAATAAAAAAAAAAATGAGAAATTCACTAATTATTCAACTTAGTAACAGACAACAACCTCTGTAACACAAGAACGATCATCTTCTGTTAGATACCAAGCTATGTTGGCATTCATGGAAATGAAAAAGTGGATAAGGCTGCCAAAAGATTACTATACAGTATCAAAACAAACACCAAAATTCCATACACTGATTTGAAACCAGTAATTAATAGGTTTATAACAAACAAATGGCAAACTCTCTGTGATAACTGCACTAACAATAAACTAAAAAGATTCAGCTAATGATCAAGACCTACCAGAGTTACAGAAAAGTGAAAAAGGAGGAAGTAATGCTTGCTCAACTCCACATAGGCCACGCATACATAACTCATATCTGCTTAAATGAGAACATCCTCCATTATGTGTTGGCTGCCATGTGCCATTTACAGTGGAACATATATATTGATGAAATGCATTGATTTCAATGAAATCCATTCCAAACATTACCATGTCAACAACCTGAAGAACCTTTTTAAATAGGTCAATCCAAATAACATTATTGGATTCCTGAAGGATGTACCAAAAAATATAAAACATCAAATACTTAAAATCACCTTTGCTCATGTGCAGACAAATGAGAACTCATTTTAAATGCATTGCTACCTATAAACTATTCATTTTTCAAATCATATATTTGTATAAACAGGATTTGACATTAAATAACCCACAGGATTGATATGCCAGAAACCTAACCTAACCTCAAAAGTATGTTAAATGCTATGGTTTAATTTAAGATAATTTTCTAAATTTATTTCAGATCAATGGATGGCCATTGGTCAACAGAAGGTTGCACTTTATTGTCCACTAACAACACCCACACAACCTGCGAATGTAACCATCTTACTAGTTTTGCTGTACTTATGGATTTTATCGGGACAAAGGTAAGTTTTTCTTACAAACCTGCAGGGAAGTAAAGTGTTTCCTTGATTGGTTCTGTAGAGGAATTATAACTGTGTAAATAATTATAAATTCCCTACCATTTATATATACAAAAATAATTGTAAAAATGAGAAACAGCAAAACATGGAAACAACAAGACAAGTATTATTTATTATCTGGTTGTTATGTGATAAAATTGTGTGCTTGGAGTCAAATGTAGATAAATATCGATCAGAATCTGACAAAATGATAAGATAAGGAATAAGTAAAGTGTATAGTCTTTTGTATGTTTTTTATAGAGGTTTGTAATGAGTGTCTAGATAATTTATTTGGAAAAGTGTCTGCAGTTTTCTTATCTGTAATTTGTGTTGAGTGCTAAGAGATAAATGTTACTATTATGGCTTGAAAAAGGAAAAGGAGCTGAAATTTACATTGACACACATGTTGATGGCCTGTCTATGTTGACTGCTTTCTGATAGAATGTTTGTTTGTGTGTGTGTGTAGAGGAAAAAAGCGAGATCAATTCTCATTAGTTTAGAAAGAGTTAATGGTAATTATAGTTCTTAAAATGAAGTCAACTTTTTTTCTTGTCTCTAATTCAAACAAATGTTTTATCTCTCTATGCTCCTCACCTTATCAAATTAGAAGTGACCAAATTGATTTCAAAGTGCATTTGTTGCTAATCTATCCAAATTCTACACTCTTCTTTGATTTGACTGCCTAAAACAAAAATTACAAAACTTTCTTCTCTTTGAACATGTGCCACATCTTTTTCTTTGGATATATTTTTCTATTCTCATTAGGAATTTTTAAGAAAATATAAAATAGAATTATACTGCTATGTTTTTAATTTAAATATTTCAGTGTATGCACATATAAAACCACTTACTTGAGTGTGTTTTTATATTTTTTGAATCTTGTGATTTGATGAAGCTTAAATTAAGCAGTTCAGTTGAATAAGCATCTTTTACAAAGATTTATACTATGTAGTCACTTAAAGAATACTTCATCAGAGAACAAAATCTGAAGTAATTTAAAATTTATTTTTTAATTATTTAGCATAATAATAAACCTGTTCAAGTGACAATTTTTTAAAATAGTGTTTTTCTTTTTTTTTTACTCTTTTATAAATCTTATGCCAGTTGATATTCAAAAAGTAAGAGAAAAATATGTAAATTACACCACTTATCAATAAATTATATACACAGTGGAGAAAATAAGTATTCAAAAACTAATTTATTGCATTACTTACCTACACATGGTATTTACCTCAAAATTATCTCGAATATACATTTCCTATTTACAACAAATAATGAGAAAAATTTCAACAATATAGAATTATAAAAGATACATTTAAAAAAAAAAAGCAAAGAAATTTTTCATGGTAAGAATAATACTTTGTGAAATAGCCTTTGTTTGCAACAATAGTCTTCACCTGCTTCCTAATAAGTAGCCATTAAACGCCTTTTTAACTGATGCTACATGATAACAAGTTTGTCATTATCAATAACATTGTGTTATCTATTGACATTGTTAATTCAGACTATTTTAATACATAATTGTCTTGCTAGTGAGGCTTTAGAATTGTCATTGTTTTAATCTGTATTTTCAGCTCCCTTATCACCATGAACATGCTCTGTATATCATCACTATGGTTGGCTGCATCATTTCTATTGTTAGTTTGTTCTGCTGCTTTTTTACTTTCTGCTATTTCAGGTAAGTGAAACTAGCTTTTTTGTTCTTATCTTTCTCAAACAATTGTCTACCAGATTTTTTTTTTTTTTTCATCTTGTAGGCATAAAAAATAGTCTTCAAATATTGCAATATCTCAAAATATGAAAGACTGCTATAATTAGTGAAATCTGACCTGGATCAGAAATTTTACACAGCGGATACAGAAGTGTTTTCTCTCTGCAACCCTAGTCAAGATGACTAACAATGGGACAGCAGTAGAAAGTTATGTAACCAATCACAACCAGAATTTAAACAATTTTCTTCATCTCTGCTGTTTTCTGAATTCACACTTTCAGAAATGATATCTTATTTGAAAAAATAATCCCAAATTTATTATGAAATATAAGTGAAATGATTGAATTAAGAATGAAAGCAAAATTAAAGATCAAAGTTGACTGGAAAGCAAGAAGCTTTCTCTAGAGTTCTCTAAGTGAGAAGAGTGAGGCAAGAAGTTGTTAGCATAGAATTTATGGTTACATCTAGCCATTTCAACTGTAAAATGAGACCTTGCCACCAGTCTAGTACTGTGCTTAAATTCATAATGTCTAAGTACAAAAGAGGAAAGCTCATCCGAAAAATTACCATGAAAATATTTATAGAAAAGACACAGAGAAGCTACATTACAGCAGTGGGAAAATGACTAAAGCTGAGATGCCAGGTCAGGACCAATAACATTACTGATTCTTTGGATTTTATTTAAAATTTCTAAATACATCATCCTTCATTGTGATTCTTCACCACATACAGGGTCACACTATGGTTTCTACTGCAACTATGTCGAGTGAAGCTTAGTTCCAGTTTCTGGGATAAAGCACATAATCTGGCTTGATCAATAGTTGAAACAATTTCTATCAATTTCACTAACACTCTTATTCATCATAAAATATTTCCTTTTTAAGCGAAGGAAACCTGTTTGCTATGAAACAATGAGTTGTTAATCTAATATTTGTACTTTCTATACCCAATGAAATTAAGGAAGTATAGTTGAATCTCCAGAGTTACTAACATTTTACTTATTTTTAATCTAAGTTTTGAAGAGTTAGCTTTTTAAAAATAAACTTGAAAGCCATGTTTACTTTAATCATATATCATTCAAATATTTCCCATTTGATTTTAAGTCATATATTGAAAAATAATATTGATGTTCTAATAAAAAAAAATACAAATAACAATGATTTTTTTTTTATTTTTTATTTGAACGAACTTAGCATGAATCAAATGTTTAGTCATGTAACCTTTTAATTGCATGATACAACACAAAATTTGCAAAGTTGCATGAGTTTTTTTTTTTTTTTTTTTTTTTTTTTTTTTCTCAAAGAAAATTCATTTTGTGTTAAAATTCAAAAATAAGTTTTATGACTTCAAAAGTGTTTCATAAAGTTTAAGGAATAATTGCAATATGATTGTTAAAACAAAAAGCTATGAAATTAATTTTTTTTTTTTTTAAAAAAAAAAAAAAAAGTTTTTCTCTGCATCCCCAAAATGTGAATGTTGCTGAATCAAGTTCTATGTCACCAAATTTATGACAATTTTGTTATATTTTAAATATTTAAAATTTTTCATATTGTTTCTTTCTTTGACTTTGTATTCTCTTGTTGGACATCCCAAAACATCAAGCATGATTTCTTCTACCAAAAGCATGAGCTGAAACTTCTTTTTGTAGATCAGCTTTGTGTTATGCTATGTGTATTTTAATGTCATCATCAAGTATCAATTAGCTGCTGTAATTTACCAATGCTGTCAACCTGCAATTTGAGCAACAATATCATTTACAATTACATGTTCAAAGCAAATGACCACAGACTGTTTTTTATAACCCCAGCAGAGAAATACAATATATCTGTCTAGAAAGTAACAAAAAAGATGATCTTGTTTGCAATAATATTCTTTCTATCTAATTCTTGTATTATCATTGCTTTGTAGCTGGTCTGTAAACATGAATTTACTATGATCATTATAGTATGATAGCTTATTTACATTCAGAGAGTGTGACAACACTGACATTTTTCCCTTCCAAATCTAGTAATACATGCACCAATTATATATATATATATATATATATATATATATATATACACACACACACACACACATATAATAAAGATTAACATTGCAACAGATTTATAATTGCCCTTAGTAACCAAATCAAAACATGGTCATTTTCAAATATACTGCAAAAGAAGGTGATTTCCATGATCATTCTTGAATATTTTTATATTAAATACAAATAAATTACTAAAATTGATCTTTACACTGAAAATTTAAGTTTATAGAAATTGGTGATATGTGCATAAAAAGGTATTTTTACAAAAGGTTTTTAACTTGATTTTTTAGTATTACATTCAGTTTTGACATTTTTATGATTCTTAAAAACCGAGTCAGCTAAAAGAATATAACTTTTTTATACTTTCATATTTTGGAAAGAGCCATGAAAAAATTTTAAAAAAAATGATAAACTTGTCTTTAAATACTATCACTTTTTTAAATTACTAGAGGATTTTATTTTTAGTTTCTTTAGTCATTCTGTATCTAAAGTGATTATAAAAAAAATAAGCATATTGCAACAGAAATTTGAAGACTGCACAAAGTGAACAAAAGAAAAGTTTGTGCAAATGTCCCAAAGATATTACTACACTTATCAAATTCAGAAAAAAATGAATTAATTTTTATATAAAGTTTTGTATAAAGTATAAACTCTATCAAGTCAAAATTTATATAAATTATATACAAAGTAAATTTTCATATATTTAGTACTTAGATTAAATACTGAATTCATAAATACATGAATGTACTGACCACACTGGGCTTACACTATTACAGACTTTATTGGCATTCATTCAGTTAATCTGCTTGAGTGTTAAATAGAATAAAATACACATCAATGGCAAAATTGGGTTGGTTTTTTTTTTTTTTTTTTTTTTTTTTTTGCACATCTTTAGACATTCATATTCCATAAACAAAAACATAATTCCACTCGCTCTTAGTAAGGCTTTACAAAAGCTTCCAAATGCAGCCAAAACTGAATTTCACTTTTTTAAAAACCTATTTATTGGTTAAAATTATTCTAAAAATGATCAATTGTTTCAACTGTTATTGATGTTAACATTTTTTCTTTGTATCTAACCTTTTTCATTTCCTGATTAACTTTTTCTTCTCAGGTTCCCCAAGTTAATGCTTTAATCAATGCTATAAATAACAGTTATCTCCCTCTTGAAAAGTCGTATCAGAGATATTTTCCATAATATAATAGAAAACAAAAATCTAGTGGGTTACCATGAAGTGGTTTTGTGTTTTGTGGGTTTTATTTTTTAATTTTATTTTCATATACGTTGCATGTTTGGCTTTCATGATGGAAAAACAAAAAGAATGCTCATGTGAGTCTGTACATTCATTGTCTTAAATTTGTTGTAGCCATTTCCTGAAGAGACCAAAAGTCAAGCTGTAGAAATCTGTTGCAATTTAATTAAATTCAGACGTTCCTTTTATAAGATTTCAAAAATATCTACTTAAGACATGAATATAATATGAAAATTAGTTATGAATAGATATGCCGTTACACTTTCTGTCAATGTATTATTCTAAAGAAACAGCTATAGAAGGAAAAAATTGAATCGCGACAGAAGTTTTCAAGGGAGGCAACTAATGTTTTATAAAACATAGTTATCTCCCATGTAGGTAACTGATGAGTTTGGAAAGTAAGCCAATTATGAAGTATAAGCTTTTTAAAATTGGATTTAAAAAAAAAAAAAGTAACAATTAATCACAAATTTTTATCCACTTCAGAAATCTTCAATGTGAACGTAATACTATCCACAAGAATTTGGTGCTGAGCTTGATGCTGGCAGAGATTGTATTTGTAGCCGGCATCCACCAAACTGAATATAAAGTAAGTACACATTATGATGATGATTATAAGCTTCAATGCCCTGCCTTCCATATCTAGGTGCATAGTTTCTGGAGATATAATACATAGAGAGCTTTTATGCTACTTTAAGTTGTAAATGATAAAAATATTTCTAAATAAAAAGTAGTTTATTCTATCTCTTTACTAATAATTAATTTTATTTTATATTCTCTAATTGCTGATATAAGGGTGACTTTTGGTCTTTTTACAGGACAAAGTCTGCTTTTTGTGATGTCACTGTTGCTTGATAATGCAAATATTTTAAATAATAGATTTGATAGTTACCAATCAGTCAACATCTATGATTTCAAAAGTACAAATTCTTTTTCCAGATCACAATTCATGGATTTTATTAAAGAATTATTTTTTAATTTTCCTGCCATCTATATGATGTTTTATGGTGTAGCTAATTTTTTTACTTTTTAATTTTTCTTTATCAGATCTTATGCTCTGTAGTGGCAGGTGTACTCCACTATCTTTTCCTGGTAGCATTTGCTTGGATGTGTTTGGAAGGTATCCTTCTCTACATTATGCTTATAGAAGTCTTTGAGGCCGAGTCTCGAAGAACTGCCTTCTACCTTTTTGGTTACGGTAGGTGTAACATGCATTTTGAAATTGCTTGCTGTTCAGTCAATGTCTTGAAATTAATCATGTTCATTAAATATTCATCTTTTTACAAGAAATATTCAAGTATTTAATAAATAGTATTTCTTCAGATGACACTTATGAATGTATTAATTTGTAATTTGTTTTACTTGTAAAAATCCCAGCACTGTTTTTGCTCAATGTTAGAAAAATTGTTAGTGTCTTTACATTTACTCAATTTTTTATTAATCACTTGTATAAACAGTTAATTATAACTTACCCTTTACAAGCCTCAGGAAAAAATTCTGTAACTAGGAAATACAGAAGCAAATATTGATCATTTTTCTTGTTTGCAATGAAAAACAAAATTTAATTTTATGGCAGTCACTGGCAATGAAAAATGGATTTATGAGATTCCAAAACTAAGAGAATTATTTGTAGATTAAAAGTGAATTCTTTATTATAAATTACTATAATCTAAGTAAACTTTTACTGGACAATGTGACATTATGAAATTAGCTCACTGAGAATACCTTTTCCTATATGAGGAAGTTGACTAATATTGCTATATAACACTTTTCATGTTGTAAAGGCAATATAGCAAACATTCATGGAACTAGGATAGGAGCCTTCCACATGTGGCGTCTTCTCCAGACTTACAAAATGGTTTCATTCTACATAACACTCCTTGTCTGATCAAGAGACATCACAAATTTGAGGTTTTGAAATGTTTCTCAAAATATTATTTGGACCAAAACAAGAATTGCTCATGATGGAACACACAATTTGCAATTGTATCTGCAAGAAATGTCAAATATGCTTGAAATCTAAAAATTATAAATTAAAAAAATGATTTTAAAATTCCTTTGTTCTCCTTTAACACTTCTGGAATGTAACAAAGACCAATGAAAAAGGTTTAATAGAAAAATTCTTTTTTTTTTTTTTTTTTTTTTTTTTTTTTTTAACATTAAAAAATTACATATAATTAGTATTTAGAAGATTAAGTAATGAAATTATCTCCTTTGGCTACTTTTTGGAGCTTTTTAACTTAAGAGCTTAAAAAGGATTGACAAGCCATGGAAAACAAATCAATCAAGGGCTTAGAAATATAAATAGTTGTTTTTTTTATTTTTATTTTCTGTCACCCATGAGATTCTTGTAAATTTAAGTGAACTTAATCATAGCATAATAAAAGTAATTTGGGTTGACATAACAAAATAATTCTTTTTTTTTCTTAAGTTGTGGATGTACCTAGTGTATTTTTATTTCTGAAATAAGAAGAAATTAATTTTGTGCATGAAGGACATTTTTGCATAGGTAAAAATGATTTAATTCCTCCTTTACCCTTTAGTTTGAATTTCAACACATTATAGCAAATTTTAAATATTGTCAACAAGTAGTTCTAGCAAATGATTCTATGAAAAAGCATCAAATTAAGAACTCATAAGATCATGCACCATAATTTTGTTCTGTGATTAGTCATCTTGAAAATTCTGACAGTGACAATAGCCAAAATGACACAGGAAGTAATTTAATCAGGTATGAACTGTGCGCATATTGATAATTACAGCCTTTGCATCAAATTATAAATGCAGTTGTTTTCTGTGATATATATACTTTTTTTTTTAATCTGATAAAGTTAGACTCTGTTAAAAGCTATGACAATTTTTTTTCCCTTTTAATTTGTAGGAATCCCCGCAATAATTGTTGCTGTGTCTTTGGGCCTTGATTATACAGGATATGGAACAGACCAATAGTAAGTTACTGTTGTTTATCTATCACTCTCTATTTCTATCTCTCTCACTATATGTATTTATATCTCGGCTATAAATTTTTCTCTAATAGTAACTGAAGTTTGTTAAAAACAACAAAGTTAAAACTGGAGTTGATTAGTTTCATCAAGCATTCCATTAATTCCTTCTACAGTTGGTTTTAACCCCCAAATATCATTATTTAACCAAAAATTGATTTATGTAATCAACTTCATCTGAAGAATACTAATTATGGCAGTTATATATGCATCATCTTGTTGTTCAATCACAAATGTTATGTGAGAAATGTTTCAATAAAAAAGTCTTCTTGGCATAGACTGGGCACCTGGTTTCTTGTGAATCTATTTGCATTTGATAGCAAAAAATAAATAAATAAACCTTGACACAATAAAACAACAGTGTTATGGTTAATCACAATTACTTTGTTACTCTATTTAAGATTCTTCAATGTCGCTCAACTGCCAATCCTTTATACATCTTTTCCCTCAGCCAAATAGATGTGACATTATAGCAAGAGTAGTCATTATTTAACTATCCAACTGCAGTTATTGTCATTTATATTTTAACCTTCATGCCTGCAAAAACCAGTGTGTTAAAAGTACAGTTATTCCCTTGACACCGCTATTACTGTATACACTTTAGACTCCCTCAAATTATAAAAATGTGAATCAAGTAAAATGTGATATTTATTATTTACCTTTTACAAAGAAATAAATTTGAAAAAGCTTTTTAGTAAAAAATTTATAAAAAATTACAAAATTATCAAAATATGTAAGCCAACTACAATGAAATATTTATTATTTATCATTTTATAAATGACTATGGAAATAATTTTTTTTTATTTTTTATTCAATCTAATAAATAGTGTTTAATATCTTTGTTGTTAACTCTCAAGAATAAAGAAAATATGTGAATCCATTTTCATGTTTGGATTTTCTTAAAACTTTAACCATCACTTTTTAAAAACAAACATTGCTGAGAAAGTCAAAAATACATCCAGTAATAACAGTGTCAAGGGAATAGCTATCATTTTAACAGACCCGTTATTTTGCGGGGGTGCAAAGGTTAAACATTAGCACTTTGTTAATAAATAATTGAAAGCAATTCACTACAAGGTCACACTCATTTAAGAAGCATATGACTATTTCACTCTGAATTGTTATACAGACTAAAATACAAGTTAGTTATAAAAATTACTTTGTAAAACTTTGTCAAAGAGCCTGTAGTTTGCTTATGTTTAAACACCTAAAGAATGTAACTTTTCTAGTGTTAAAAAATTATACTATTCTATAAATTTCACACTTTGAAGATAAAATGATTTTTGTAAATTTTATCAAGATTTGAATTTTAACTTTCATGTAAATTTGTAGCATTAAAGTGTTTTTTGTTGTTTTTTTTTAGCTGCTGGTTGAGAACAGATAACTACTTCATTCTGAGTTTTGTGATCCCTGTTGGCTTAATTATTGTGGTAAGTATAACTTGCTTTTGTTATCTCCTGATTTACTGCTGCTGTATGTAAAATATGGAAATTTATTGATTCATTCTTTTTTTTATGCTAATGTTCGCTGAATGCATGACCCAAGAGACACACAAGGTAGAGATAACAGTTACTCTTAGACTTCAAGAGGCATGATAGTAATGATTGGGAAAACATCCTGCTGGGAGTCTGTTCCACAAAGCAGCAGTTCTCTAGAAGAAGCTATTCTTACTATAAGAATATGAAGGGAATGTGAATGATTCACCTTTTGTGTATGTGGCATAGCAAGTCCATTATAAAAGTCAGGGGTGATGGAACTAAGGAATGTAGGTTGTCAGAACATATACCATGGAAATAGCAATAGAGCATTGAGCAACAAATTTACTTTAAAGCTTCTTTGAGTGTGCTTGAGAGATTTAAGATATTAAAATTGGTTAACTATCAAAATAGCTGCTTAAAATCATCTGTATATGGCTTCTTTTTTTTTCTTTTTTAAATGCAGGGACAACTGTATTTGTCTACAATGGTAGAAATTTTAATCTACAACTAAAGATCTGATCTCTACTCCAGTTCTTCCCTTGTCTTTTAGAAATTTATCCCATGTTTCCAGTTCATTCTAAAGTCTTCTCATTCTCTTTCACACCCAGTAATCCTTTGGCATCTTATATCTACCTAGAAAATTAAATTAACAAACAGTACAAATTCTGGTTGTTGTTGTTGTTCATTCCAATCAAATGCTCTTTAGAAAGGCATCCACCTATTTCTCCCTGTGCTTTTCTTTCTCATTGCTGGATATTTTGATAATGGTCTCCTCTTGTCACTGGTATGCCATAATGGCTGAGTGGAAGAGTAAATACTTGGCCAGACTACTCTCCTGTAACTATCTTACTTTGTTAGGTAGTGGAAGCAAAAAAATTATTGCATATATTGTCAGCCTTGACATACTCTAGCTTATGGAGAATATCATGAAAGTACATTATGATCAGGACTAACAAATGATTCAATACAGCAGTTATGTATCCCACAAACCTCTTCAAGGTTTGAGTCAATATGCTTCTGTTTTTGAAAAACAAAAGTAAAATTAATTCCTACATTTTTTTTATCTTGTATTTTTCAATTGAGATTAACTTTCCAAAAAATCTGATGCACAGATACAGCAGGTCTCATTCAGTTTCACAATTGATTTATTTATTTTTGTATAAAAAAAAAACAATGAAACCACCATTTTAAATGATTTATATAATATGCTTAATTTTCAGATTAATATATCCATGTTGCTACTTGCTATCTACATGATGCACACACATGCCAACACAGCAAACTCTAAGGAACGGTCAACAAAGGAAAAAATTAAGTAAGTCTTACTCACTTCATGTTATTTCTTTTTCTGTTTAATCTTTACTCTTTTTCCCTTCCTTTTTATTCCAGTTTTTCTTTTTTTTTCTTTTTGCTTACACACACACACACACAATAAAACTTAAATAGATATAGTTCCTTTATATGCTTTATACACTATTAGTGGTCATCTTGTCCAAATAATTCTTTACCAAAAAAAAAAAAGAAATAATGCACTTAACAAAAGGATTTAGAAACCTATATTCAGGAGTAAAGTTTTTTTTTTTTCTTTATCATTTTTTTTCTAATATAACTTTAGTTATTTCTTAAATAAGTTATGTATACACACATGTTATCGATATATATATATAGATATCTTTTATCCATAAGTAATGACTTTTTTAAGGATGCACTTAACCTATCCTTTGTATGGGGCCAGTTCCAGGTTTTGTCCAGTACAGTAGGTCTTGGATTTGTGTTTGTGTGTGCTGTTACAGGAAGGATAAAAAATTTTCCCATTGTGTACATGTGCTTTCTTGTACCAGACCAAGTTAGAAGTTACCTCTGTACACAGTATGTACTGTCTGTCTGTATCAGTGTGTATGCTATGTGTATTATACACAATACTGGAAACCACCCAATCATAAAGCATAAGTCACCATTATCTTTTAATATAAAACCCTTATAAAAATGAATTCCTTGACCTGCTATGAAAGTGGTTAAATAAAATTCAGTATTATCTCATTAATTTTTTCTTTCTTTTTTTATAACAAATTCCTACTAATTTTAATTATTTTAATAGTAACAGATTTAGTTAAAGATCACTTTTCTAATGCAAAACCGCACTAAGGCTCTTTTTGATTGAATAAAATCTCTGAAAGCAATATTTTAGTAACAGAAAATGATTGCTTTCATTACTGAAAAAGAAAACAGCTACTCAGAATGGGCAGTTTACTTTCATTGTAAGTAGAAGAAATTGGAGTATCACAGTCTTTAATAAAAGATGTTAATAAAACATTTTATATACTCATTGTAAAGTTACAAAATGGTGGAAAAACAATTTCTTTTGGAAGCAAAGTTAAAGAATGAGTTTTTACCTAAAATATTTCATAGTATTTAGTGAAATATTGGAATACAAAGTTCCCGTACAACTTTCAATAAAAACATATATAAAGTTATGCGGAACTTTGTTTCCAATACAATGACTACTTTCAGATTTGGTCAAGGAATTTTGGTTATGTTTCTCTTTCGACTCTCTTCATTCTTTAAATTTCTGGTGATTTTACTTTGTCCACCCATATTTACATTTTATTATGGGTTATCAAACAAAAAAAAAAAAAATTCACAATTTTAACATTTTCATAAAAACAAGACAAGACCTTATCACTTTTCAGCCAACTACATTTGTGAATCTTGCTCTTGCTTGCAATTATTCTGGCAGCATGTGGTAACAAAACTAATTTCTCTCTTTTTTTCTCTCTCTCTCTCTCTCTTCCCCAACTATGCACCCAATATTGTGGTTGTTTGTGCTATGAGAAAAAAAGAAAAATGACTATAAAACAGCCGTCCCCACCCTTCCAAATAACACCTAATTCTCAGCTATAATACACATTCATACACGTATGCATGTTATTCTACTAACCCCAGTACAAAGACAAGCTGATTCTAGTACTTTCTGTCTGGCCGTGTGTAATAATCTAATGGTGATTCCTTCTTTCCATCCTTCCGCTGCAGTGGACATCTGAGCACGAGCAGTGACCTCGCCCTCTGCGGCTCTCAATCCAAATTCTCATACTTGGCAGATATTCCGTAAGACATTCAGCCGCATGTTTTAACGTGTAACAATTCCCTGTACAGAATGTTTGCACATATTTTGGATGTTGTTGTCTGTTTGTTTGTTTTTGTTTCGTTTTTTTTTTTTTTTTTTTTTTTTTTTTTTTTTGTCCTTTGTTATATACGTTGTATTTTTATTTTATTTTTTCTTTTACTTTCAAATACTTTTTAATTTTTTTTTTTTTTTTTTTTAAACCTTCACGCAATGTTTTTTAAACTATATATATTTGAATACATATATATATAGCCCGGGCTTTCTAAGTGTGGTGGGATATTTCTTTTTATTCTCTATTCCTCGCTTTGTCTTTTCCATCATGTAATGGAAGCATTGTTTTTCAGGTTTGCATGTTTTCTCTCTGATTATATTTTTTTTTTGCTATATACCACTCACGTCCACATACATACACACAAGTAATCTATAATCTTCAGTTATTCATGAAAGAAAAAGAAACTACATTTGCATGTATATTTATATATGTATGCATGCATGCAAACAATTCAAACTCACACAATGGCACATTGTGTCCATATATATAAAAATCATTCTTATCTTTATATTTAACATTAGTTTTAAGAATAATGATGTGTACCTGGATGTGTATGTGAGAGAGCACTCTGTAAAGCTGTGTATATACCTATCATTTCACTTTTTATTTTTATTATCTATATCTACTTATAAAAGTCAAATAGAAAGTTGTAAAATCAAGTTAAAGTTGACCTTTCATAATAAGACAAAGACCTGATTTTCTCTTTTGTAGCTTTTGTTTGGCTTAGATGTCAAGCCAGTTTCCAAAATGAAATTAAAAACATTTTTATACTTTTAGTTCCATCCTTTGTTGAAAGTTTACATTTGAAAAATATAAATATATCAATGGGTGTGAGATTTTTTTTTTTAAATTCTGTAAAGATTGTCTGAGAATACTATGATAAAAACCCCGAAAATTAATTTAATTGCCAAAGTTCCACTTATATATTATTGAAAGTCTCCAGACACTGACAGGAATAAACATTTCAAATGGTATTATCTTTTTAAATAAAAAAAATGATCTGCCCCTATATTATTTCACAGCACAGTACAACTGAAACATTTTCATGGAGTTGTGAGAATAAAATGCAAATATTTACAATGTATATAAATTTTAACAAAAAAAAAAAAAAATCTAGAAATGTAATTTCATATAAAGGCTGTGTTTGAATATATTACAGTAAACCTTTCATAAGTAATTGAGCAAGGATTTGACTTCATCAGGAAAGGGTCTCATGTGAGAGTTTCAGCCATCAAAGCTTTGTTAAACAAATTGATAAAATTCAATCCTTTTAACATGTAGTGAACATAAAAAAGATTAATCTCCAAGAAATATCTCCAAAGTGTTTAGTGTAGTTGAGATATCTAGGAGGATGGTGTTTAATCTAAACACCATCACTTATATCTAACATAACTCCACTCTAATATTAAAGCTAAATGATAGGAGGCTTATGTGTTATAAAATACAGTAATTTCTCAAAACAATATTTAATTATCAAGGTATGTTTAATTTTAATTTAGTGTTTATTCATACTATCTTCAAGACCTGATTAGAAAAGATGTGTATTGATTATTTGTAGGAAAAATTAGTCAGTTGGAAAGAAAGTCCAGTTGCGTTTGAAGATGGAAAAAAATGCTTCTTTGGTCTTAATTAATATATGTAATCAGGATAAAATTTAATCATTATCAATAACATAATCTCATCTATTTGGAAAATTTCTGATCCTTTGGGCATAAAGTTCTATGTAAAGAAATACTTAATATCATTATAACTAAATAGTTTTCCTTTTAAAAATGATACAATGATCTGAAAAGATGATTGTCAAATGGAGCAAGGTCAGAAGAGTAAGGAGGATGAAGCAAAACTTCAATATTTAGTGCCGTAATATTTTCTAGAGTGACTTTAGAAATATGTGGTCTTGCATTATTGTAGAAGAGAAACATGCCTTTACAGTTAATTAATTATAGGCACTTTTTCTGCAAAATTTTGTGCAATGCTTCCAATCAATGACAATATATCTCTGCATTAACTGTTTCATTTTGGTTTAGCACTTCATAAGATGACATGCTTTGTATACCACCAAACACACAGCATAAGATCTTGGAATGTAATCCTGCTTTTGGGGGGGATGATTTCTCCTCTTTTTTTTTCACTAGGTGTTAACTATTGTCATTTCTATTGGCTATATTATAGAAAACTCAATGTACATCACTGGTGATGATTCTACCCAGGAAAGGTTTGGTAGCACATCTACTCTTTGATGACCAGCAAACAGCAACTCTTTGATCAAGCTGAGAACCAATTGGATGATGGACCTATTGACCAAATTTAGATACTTTTCCAAGTTCATCAAGATGTTTTATGATCAAAGTGTGACTTGTTTTGAAAAATTATTTTCAGTTTGATTAATATTCTCTTCAGTTATGTCAATATTGACAGAATTTGGTTGTTCAAAATCAAGAGGAATTTTCAAGAGAAAAATGTCCTGATCAAACTCGCCAAACACACAGCTTCATTCCCATAGACAGAATTAATATTTCTTTCTGATTCTATTGCTGAAGAGCCCTTTTTGTTTTTTTTTTAATATGGCAGACAATGTCTGATATGAGTTTGACCTAAACTTATTTTAAAAGGGCAAAATCAATACAGAATTTACCCACTCTGATATTAAGTAAACTTTATTTTTTAATCATTTCATCCTAAGCAAGACAATAATGTCACTAGAACACAAAGGGTTACTGGAAGAGAATGAGGAGAAAGGACAATAAAAGAACAGAATTCAAGAAAACAAGATTGTTATTGATGTTGCATTTAAATTTTTGGTAGGTGGAAGAAAAGCAAGAAATTGGAAGAGAGTTCCTCAGGATGCTAGCTAGTTCAACATTAAAATGGTGTAACCAAGTTGCCAATCTAGTAGTACACTTAAATTGATGCAGCCAAGGTACCAAGAAGTCAAGCTCATTAGAACAATTGCCATGAAAATATTTGTAGAAAAAAGAACAAAGGGAGGCACTGTCATGTTGGTAGGAAAGTGATTGATTTTGAGATGCCAGGTCAGGATTGATTACATTATAGAATCTTCTTTGAATTTTGTCAAGAATCTCAATATATATAGTAGAAGGACCAGACCTGATATGGCAACAATACTCAATGCACAGAC